GGGTGCTGTTCTCACGGTACTGCTTCCACTGATACTTTTGTCGATTCGCAGCGAATCACAGAGAACCAGTAAAATGATGCCTCACGTATCTTTTTGATCGAAAGGTCGCTTCAAACCTCCCATCACGTATACTTTTGATCAGTTGGCCTCGCAAACCTAATACAGCAAAATGATACCTCATGCATCATTTTACCCCGTTTTACTTAAAGTTTGTATGGTGTCCCTTCAAACAGAAATGCATGGCGTTAACGATAGGGTTAATATTCACGAAGATCATGGACGTGTACGAGATTCCTGGAGTGACCTTCGATCTGGCGGAAACTATCGCGGCCAAGACGGTGAAAGACCTCCTGGCAAAGTTTGTTCCTGAAGCCCGGATGAAAATGAAATGAAGGGAATCACCTTCCCGTCAGGAAAATACTTAACGGATAGCGCCAAATAGCGTACCCTTCCCGAATTGAATACCTCCTCTCAAATCTGATAGAATGTGCTCAGTATACAAAGCTATTGTACCTACGCCAATTTGTATACCTCAACCAAACCGTATAGAACGTTGAGTACTTATAATGTTCTTGAAATTTATGTGAAGTTTAGCATGTAAACACCTTTTGATTGGCTAAGAGATGTCTTAAAATTGAAAATCACCCATTATTTTCCGTGTAAGTATTACTTTGTCAAATACGGCAAGCAAGATCCGGTTATTTTTTTTATCTTTTTAAAGACCACAGTTTAAAAACTGACACTTGTATTCGGTACTGTTTGCATTTTGTGTAACTTTACGCAAAATTACCGTAAGGTACCCAAAGAAAAATGGTTTTGGTTGTTGGTCTAAGTTCTGCTTGCATCTAACGGCATGAGAGACGTTGTGAACCAACTCTGCGCAATCTATGGATGTCTCCATGGTTTGAAGACTGGTACATACGTTGGCAGGATGCCATCAAAGAGGTTTTGCAGAACGTAGCTAGCTCTACACACAATATTTCAGACTTGAATGCGTCGGAGCAACTTTGGTAGTATAACCCCCTTCCTATTTGTATATCTTTCTAGATTTGACAAGTGTTCAATTCAATAGTATGCGGTATACAAATTGGCGTTTTCCGTTAGCTACCGTTTTTGC